TCGGCAGCATCACAGCTCCTTACAGTATGTCATATATTTAGGTGAGAAGATGAGTATATTATATCACAATGTATATAAGACATCACTGCATTGACATTCTCTATGAGTCCAAAAGAACATAACAAATCTGCTTTCAAACCAGCGATATGTACACATTTATTGAAATAAGTAAAATTGTGTCTTTTTATAATGAAGAATTTTGCTCCTTTTTTATTTTCAGGTAGTTATAATAAGGCTCTTCCTTATATCCTCATGGGAAGTCTCACAATTTCCTCATCTGCCTTCTCCTTCTGGAGACCCTCAACAGAGATCTTCCAGAAACAGTGGAGCAGATGCAGGAATGTCAGGGGTAAGTTCATTCCACTTAAAATCCTGTCTTTTTCATGTCACTATTCAATATTTATTTTGAATCGACTTTATCATTATTCTATGCATTATTTTAGCAGGCTATGGTTCTCTTCAAAAATGTACGTCTCGTTTTAGCCAATCAAAGAAACTGTTTTAAATATTTGAAACCCCCTATATTTGTGGTAGCTGTGTTTCTTAACTGCTTTTCTTGGTCTTTCTTTGGATTGCAGGTTGTGTAATGGGCTGCAAAAAAGGAAATATTTAGAAAATGAAGGAAGGAAGAACCTGCCCATACAACGTGAGGTGAGTCAGGATCTGCAGGCTCTGTATATGTTCTCAGTTACTTCTTTCCCTTAAAGAAAAAAAGACAGAAATACATTTATATTGCTTGACAGTAATAATCGGAAATCGGACAGATTCAAAAGTCCACTGGCAAGAGTTTTTTTTTTTTATCCTGTTTTCTTTTCTTTTGTATAAACAGTTTTTTTTGTACTCAGTTGATGCTTGCTAATTCGAAAAAAAAGTTTGGGCAAAATTCTAAGAGAAAAGTTTAGGTTCTAAAATGTTTGTATGAAATTTAAGTACATGTTTGATTGGTATGTGAGTCTGTGTTACACAATACTTGAGATTAAAATATAAACATTGGAAACCACCATGCCATTATCAGTTGTTTTTTATTTAAACATAAATAATTATCTTAAATGTTTGTTTCTCAATGTGTTAACGTTGTTGCTTTCAGTGAAAAAGAGGTTTGGAGCATGCTGTGGTTGACACACTGGGAACATATGGGAACAAAAACACTCTCACATGCCCGAATGATACATAATAAAAGGCAGCTAGAAACAGCAAGCCTCGCTCTGTCCAAAAGGAACAAAATACAACCTCTACAGCTCAAAAATCAACATGTATTACCTAACTTATTTATCAATTATAATACAACTTACCTTTATGTAAGCTGGGACAAGTATCCAAATATATCAAATTAAAAAAAAATTGTATGTCCGAGGCTACCATGCACTGACAAAAATAGTAGAGGATTGAATCCCAGCAGAAAGGTATTCAGAATACTTTGGAAAAGGAAACATTATATACCTTTAGCAGTTGACATGCAAACTAACACTGATCTTTATGGTGTCCTATTCCCATGGCAGTGACTTTAAACGTTGACTGCTAAACTATAGGTTACTTACGTAACCCTAGTTCTCAGAGTAACATGAAGTGAGATGTCTCACTATGGGATGCGCCTCAACGCGTATGAGTAGTTATAAAACAACCACTTCTGTTCGATTTTAATTAATGACTGATAAGGAATGATTTATGACCCTATCAACTGGAAGTCCCGCCCCTATAAACCGGAAGTCCCACCTCCCAAACAGGAAGTCCCGCCCCCAAATCACGAAAGTCCCGCCTCCCAAACCGTAAGTCCCGCCCCCAAATACCGTAAGTCCCGCCTCCGAAACCGTAAGTCCCGCCCCCAAACACCGGAAGTCACGCCACCTGTCACTCTGAAATCAGACTTTGATCCTCTTATCTGTTCAGACCTTTGACCCCCTTATCTTTTATGACTTGTTATTGTGAACATTGCCCCCGATAGCGGCAGTTAAGCCCTTTGATGTGAATCTTAATATAGCAATGTCATGATCGGTCAATGATAAACCAGATATAGCCCTGACTTGTTTTTGTGAACATTGCCCCCATAGTGGCAGGTACAGATGTAGCAATTCATTTCAGACAGTTTGAAACGCGAGGGCCGTGATTGGTACGTGATCTGCCCTCGCTCAAGGGAAAACCTCCAGTTTGACTTGAGACCGCCCCCGTGATAGATAAATGTAATTATAATGAAGCCAGCTGCAATGGATCATTGATCCACCAGGGGGTGCAGTGGGGTTCCACACTGGACCTCATGTGAAATAAAGTCAGATACAGTAGCTGGATGTACGTTAAGATCCATATGTCACGGATATCATACTCTGTGCTAAATAAGAGACATGTAATCATTTACAAAACATCACCATGTTGTTATTTAACAAAATAATGTTGTTTAGTCGAAAAAAATGAACAGGAGGAAATGCAGCCCGGCTCTCGATTTTTAATCCTAATTTAATCATCATCTTCACCACGATCATTTATGTTTATGTTCGCCGAATTGACATGAAATCACTGACACATATGAATATACTGTATTCAACTTCATTAAAACGTTATTAACGTGCCTAAACTCAGTAATTCACCAAAAATATGTATATTTTAATGGAGCTTCGTCGGTCGATCAGGATCCCAAAGTGTAGCGGAGGGATCCTCATCTGGATGAAGGGTGTTATTTTCCCCATAAGGAACAAGTCGCTGCAAATTATCCCGCTTATTACATGGCCACATTCTCAACAAAGTAACGACATGACTCCCAATATTAATTTAAATGCTTTTATTGGATTTAGAAAAATGTTTTTATTGATTTAAAAAATAGTTGTATGTATTGATTTAAATTGACATGCATCCGCTAAGAAAAATAGTCCGTTGTTTACCGTTTT